CCTCCCTAACGGGGATGCCCAGGGACACTCCCCCATCACCCTTTCCACCTGTGTAGTCGCTTCGTGGAGGTCGATCAGGTCACCTAGATACTCATGTCCCTCCGACAATTGTGTGCCCTAGAATCTGGACCGGCTTCGTGCATTCTCCAACCGACGCCGTATAATGAGAATGCTATTATCGCATGCAGTTGCGTCGACGATAACGCCCCGCGGTGCTTTGTCTGTTTCCTCCATCCCCCTCACCCACGCCATGCTAAGACCCCCCACATCTTCCAGATCCCCAAACTTATTCCCCAACACCCTCCACAGCTTGGCCAGCAAAATAGCTCGATTAGGTTGGAAGAGGCTCATTCCTTGAATCACCCTTTCGGCCAGAGGAATCGTCTCCCCGAGGCGCCCGATGCCACCTGTTTGCTTGTATTGAGTGAAGAGAGTTTCACCGGTGTCCATCTCCTCTTGCCACCTCGTGGCCTCAGTGTCTCGACGTGATTTACCGTTCCCAGAACCCCTAGCCCCCGGCAATTCTCCCATCTTATTCCCGAAAACCGAGATGGAACGCGGAATGTCTGCCTAGAGATTGTTGGTCCCGCTAAGCCCAGTACTATATTGCTCTAATATCGAGTGTGTATGGTTAAACGCCACCCGTTGATATATGTTGTGGCGGCCGAGGAGTGCCTACTGGGATGAGGCCTTGACAACTAATGGAATCAGCACAATCTGGGACAGAGACTGATCTTGACAATACCTGTGATAATCAGTAAAGCGCTTGGCCTTTCTGATAGCTTGCTACCTCAAGTATTATTAATTCGGGGTTTCCGCAGGGTGAACACCGAGGCAATTGAACGTAGCCACTAGCCCAGTTGTTGGTCCCTCTGTCGTCCGGTTCAAGGCCTCTTGTTTTTACCGAAATGGAGGATGTGAAATTCTTATAACAAGCGCATAAAGTCAGTAAATGGCTTGCTCGGCATAGTTCTTTGGTTTCCATGTTACATCTGTTTGGGCGGTGTATCCCTTTCTTCCATGGATCCTATTTTTATCGCCCAGCTTCTGTTCCGTCTGTCCCCCTCCCCCGCCGCCCGCACTGCCCCCCCCCCCCTCCCCCCGCGCAAGTAAATTCAGAGTTAGCAGGGAAGAAAGAAAGAAAGAAAGAAGTTGTATTGTAGTAGGGGGTTCGTCGTGAGTGGGCGTGTGATTTGGTGTGAAAAGCTAGAGTTAATGTAAGGGCGAGGGTGTTGAGTTATGTAGTGCACGGCTAGCTTATTATCCCGAAATCAGCAAGGCCAGGCCGGTGGTATGAAAGGTCCGATGCTAAGTGGTGGTTGGCCCCTTGAGACCTGCATACCAGGTATCTGTATACCATACCGGGCTGTGCAAAAGCGACGAGGTCTACCCGCCGTTCCGCAGTGAGCCCTTCATACCCATCTCGTGCACCTCTATCCTAGCAACGCTCACTACCTCCAAAATAATTTTGTGTTGGTTGCAAGGGCTGATTTCGCCCGTAAATAAAACCCTCCTCGAGTATTTCATTCCTGTCTCGAGGATCATACTCGGAGCACACCCCATTGGTGAGGAACCCGATACCGGTATGCGCAACCGCTCTGCGCTAGAGCTGCAAGAGCATATCCCCCTTCGCCGATCCCATGGTTGGTTCTCGGATATTCCAGATTGCTGCGCCTGGCCTATGCATCCCGAAACCGCACGTCATCGGATTACGGTACAGTACGCCCAAAGGGAATGCTGCAAAGACGTACTGTACCCTAATGAAGGCAGAGAATAGTCCCAGTGGAAGAGAGGATCTAGGGCGCTAAATTGCATGTCGTATTGCATGGTCTCATGCCTCGGCCAGGTATGATATGATACGATAGGACCACGGAAGCAGGTCGCCAAGTCTCTCCGGGTAAACCCTGAAAGGGCTCCGGAAGAGCGGAAATCTTCTGAGTGCCTCAATTTTTCGCCCAGCGAGGCTTTCATCGTTTAATTGATAACAGTATTACCATTACTATATGGTTGAGCGCCCACCAGTGCCGGAATACCTACCGGTATGGCCAGTTTAGGCAATACAGTGGATTAGCTCTGCCTTCTAGGGCGCACTCGAGCACCATACGAGCACTGCACACTCGCCCAGGTGGCCGGCAGTGCAATTGCAAACCCGATTTCCGGAAGGTACAACACGACCGCCCAGCCTAGAATATGGATGACAGATATACCTCTGATATCACACTACCAGTACCGGCATACCAATATCAAGAAATTTCCCCCGCCTCTCTCGTGGATATTATCACAATCACCGGGAGAAGGCTCTCCGGGGCGGTGGGCAGGTCGACCTTGTGCTTGCGGCACCCATGATACAGTACCCGTACTTGCACGAACCAAAGCCCAACAAGCAAAAAAGGAGGCGGCTCGACGCGTACCGGTGGGGGACCCTGCAACCAGGTTTATCCACCATTTTTCGTTGCACAATAACCACGCAGCGGGTCCGGTTAGGTTGATTGCCCCTCCACAAAGATAGATATTGCCTCAAAAGAGCTACTATGATAGAAGCAAGAAAAAGCGCCTAGTATCATATGAACCCATTCAAAACAAGGCGAAGGAAATCATAAATCGGAACGAGGCCACAACACAAAACCATGCAACTCGCTCTTGCTGGTTCAGCCGCCTGTTTATCCAGCCAGCCGTCCATCTATCTTCCGAGCCCCTCTACCGGCATCCCTCTCCCGTCCCCCCATCTGGTTCTGGCTCTCAATCACTCTCTGCCTGGTTCCATTCTCTCGATTGCTTGCTTGTTGGCTGATTGGTACTTTAAACTACTAGCTGGCTATTGTCCCGCACCATCCCCTCCTCCTACCGTATCATACTGTCAGTGGCCACTCTGGTTCTCAACACATACGTTAAGCGAACTGGGTTCTGCCTATTACCCAATTGTGAGGTGTATTCGAGTACTTGTGCCTGCCGCCTGACTAGTGTTCCTCGCAGCAGTGTGCTGTAAGCTGCTTGATCAGCCCGGGGTTTGAGCCCGACTGGTTCAGTTATGATAGATGATAATTCCACGATTCCATCAAACCCAAACTCTTCACCTCTCTACGCACCGGCAGGCTAAAGGCCATCTTAAAGACAGAAACATGCGGGTTAAAAATAAGGTGGTCTAGATCAACCGACTGCTCGATACGGTACCGTGCTCGAGGGCCTGCTATGGATGAAAAATGCCAAAAGGAGCTGCGGCTCTTATGCGGCTCTTGGGTGACGCTATCTCGCTTACCCGTCACGTGAACGATCTCCCTCCCGTGATCCACTTTTGAAACCCCCCGCAACAAATCGCCCCGACCACCTGATCGAGAAACGACTCGGCTCACCAAAACCACCCGCGACGATCCGGCAGAAGGGGAAAGCCGACTAACACTACCTATGTCCTATTCGAGTAGATAACCAGATAACGGAGCCCGGGCCCGTCTCGCGAGCCCTAGAGGGCTAGAATCTTTGCGCAGTCTCCTCCGGTCATCCACGGGCCGGGCCTTCGACCTACCCTTGTCCACGGGACTCCGACGGGCGGCGGAGGCGACCCGCCGGAGGGGCCTATGATAGTCAATGTTGCGACTAAGGCCTTGGTGGGATCAAGGGGGGGGTTCGCCAAAGCTGACTTTCTTGATGTTCTTCCCTTTTTCCGGCACTCTCAGAGTTTTTTGAAGGTGATAGTATTGATGAAGACATGCAGGCAGAAGTGTTGAGGGCAACCAAAGGACATATTCTGAATTAGTTTTCTTCATTTACCTTTTTCTCTTTAGCTCTCTCATTCTGGCTGTATAATATTGCAGTCTTGATTCAGCTATTGTAGCATATTTTTATGGATTTTCTAAACCCCTTCAGACCTTCGAAGGGGGGGTTCATCAATGTGAGCCCCAAGGCCTTCGTCGATTTTTATCGCTGGCCCCCCCCCTTCATACCAACACCGTGTGATACTAACAGCGGCGCCATCTGGCAGAGCTGTGCACCAGCGCTCTTAATAAAAACACAACCACCGACGATCTTGGATAGAGTAGTAGCCGCCTTAGTTTCTCTTACTTTGGGAGACGAACGTCGCGTTCAACGCTGGACGGGGAAAGACGAGCAAGGAGTTCCGGGATCCCCCCCGCGGGTTTGAAAAGATTGTGAAAAAATTCTCTGTGGGCTATTCATACGACGATCCATTGGAGGTGGTTGATATTTATGTCCGGAACTAACGCTATACTCGAGTACAGTACACTTCCCGATTACACAGCCAGACAAAAAACCAGCCGCCCCCGATATTTGCAGGATCGGCAGATGGAGACATTCGAACCTACTGGACTGGTTTGCGAAGGCAAATCTAATATATTTCTAGCCTAGCCTCGGGCCAGCCGCCTACTCGAGTACCGGTACTAAGAAAACGGATGACAGGGTGACCCATCCTCCTCGAACCCTCCGGTGGGTCCAGGGTCTACGAGTACCGTAGTGGGTCGATCTGGGTGTGATGTCGTATTGGATAGGCTTGGGCCGGCCTAGTCCACGATTCCGATTCTGGGCTAGGTAGGCCGAGCAGACACCATACCCAGGCAGCCAGGCGTACCCAGAGAGACAGTGTAGTAGTACTAGTAAGGGCATTTCTCCAGGAATTATTTGATCCCGCACGCATACACTAACTTGAACGCTTTAATTCAGGGGATCGGATGAGAATCGTACCAAGTTACCACAACCTCCCTTATCCGTTGAGCGTTCCTGTGAATCTGTGACCTCACTAGGCTCCTCGATGCCGCCATTTACCCTGTCCCGTCTCGTATTGTACTGTACAGTCCGGCCCACCCGATAAGGTCCCTGCCTCGTGCTCACCACCCAACAATACACCCTCTTTCTTCCTCGCTGGAGTCGGACCCCCCGCTACCCGCCAAAAAGTCGGCAGCTCTGAAAGTCGGGCGGAACACACGCAAGGAAAAGAGGAAAATTGATATGCAAAACACCAGAATGAGGCAACCCTGACCGGACCGATCGCGACGCTCAAGGTCTCGAGTGAGCCTTTACTAGTCGCTAGTCAACGCACTGCCCACCACCGAAAGGAGGATCACCCACTCTCACTCGTCGCGTCCCTGATCCTCTCGAGCCGATGTCGGACGTTATGCGCCGAGCACGCTCCCGCGATAGACTTTGTAAGGTTTATTTACCACAAAGTGGTTTGTTGCTTTCACGGTGTTGTGTAACTTCGGTGGTAGCTTATGTTGGCGAAGTGTTTGCGCAGCCAAGCTGGGGTTGAAGAGCGTTGAATAAGGATCTTCGCCTTGTCCAATCCTAATCCAGCGGGGGAAACTCTGGATAGCCACCGCTGTATTATGCTACAGTAACGCTTGAATGGGCGTGAGTAGAAGCATCGGATATTCGAAGGAGTATTATACAAAAATTCCCTCACGCTATGACGGCCACCAACTTTATTTATTTATTTTTCCGGCAACCTCCTGTTGCGTTGCGGCCCTTTGAATGTGCGCGGTAGAATCGAGGAAAGGAGAGGCTCCCGGCTTCACACTAAAAGAGAGGTATGTGAAGGAGGCGGGTACCATACAGGAGAGCATACATCATTGCGCCAGTAATCGCATCAAGTTTCCCACGGGGTATCATCTCGCCATCCCATCCCGTGGCCCAATTCCGTACAGAAAAAACAAAAACAAGGAAAAACATCATGTCATGAGAACGTTTCAATTTTCCGCCGCTCCCGTCTCACGCCCCCCGATCCCGCAACCCACTCATATTAAACAACATCCCCTACGAGGGCCTAACCTTCTTCCCCCTGCCAGCTTCCTCCCCTTCCTGCGTCGAGGGCACGGCCCGCTTCGGAGAGCTGACAACGACGATTTTGCGTTTTTTGTTGGTCTCGGGTACGTCTTTGGCTGCGGCGGCGTCGTGCTCGACGTCTTCTCTGGCAACACGCTTCTTATTGACGTCCTTATCTACAGGGCGCTTGCCTCCCGCGCCCCCATCCATAGCCCTCCTCCGGTCCACCTCTGGCGAGGGGGAAGGGTCTTGTTCCCCCCCGTCTGCATCTCCATCCTTATCACTGTCACCATCAGCCCCCCCCAGCTCTTCCTCCTCCGCCTCACTAGAAGGAACAAACTCCTCATCATCCTCATCATCACTACTCTCAAATTCCAGGACCATCCCAGGAGTGTAATACTCCTTTCTGATCTTCTTCCTGATAACCCTCTCGCCTTCGGCGGCGTCCCCGACACTAGAATTATCAGAATCACTAGACTCATCCCGCGCCCTCTTTCCTAGCGTGCTGAATAATGCGGCGATCCGCGCCTCGGAAGGCTTCGCATGTCGCATTTTCGGTCTTCGAATCGGTTTGTGTGCCGTTTTAGTCTTCTTTTCGGGTTTGGCCTGTTTGGTTACTTCGTCTTCGAAGCGTACAGAGCGTCGGCGCTTCTCTGGCTTCGCTGGGACCGGTCCGGCTGTGGAAATTCCAGACGCGGCGGCAGCCGCAGTGGCATCTTTGAGGAGGGTCTCTGCGCGGGAGATGCACTGTGTGAGGGGTTGTGAATGGCCCTTGTTTGCTGCAAGGAGCTTAAGGAAACGGAGATGACCATGCAGCTGGGAAGTGTGGATTTCATAGACGCGGTTCCAGGGGATGTTTTTCGGAGTGGCGGCTGTGGGCTTGGGAGAGCTGGTGACGGTGGGGTCCGCCATTTCGATGTCGAGCGCGGGGGTACAAGCAGCTCTGAGAGTTGATTGGTGGTGTGGGACTGAACGGGGTAGGGTTGTATAGAGTTGGTCTGAGGGAAGAGGGGGTGGCAGGTTGACAAAATTGTCGAAGGGGCCTTTCGTAGGGGCGGTGCCAATGACGGTAGGTGGGTGGCCTGAGCTGTGAGTTCTGGGGACGGATGAAGGTTGCGATCTGCAGAATTGACAAAAAGTCGAAGCTAACCGAGATCTCGGAGAAGCGGAAACTTGCAGAGAGTTAGCTTATGTAACTATCTGATACTATCAGGGAGACAAACCGGCTGCGCTAGCAGAGTGAGAGTTATGAGATGGCTTGAAAGGTGAAGGCAAGACAGAAGAACCAGTAACCTTGGGGGAAGCGGTATTTTTCGCAGAGCTACGAAACGATTCGCCCAACAACTGGCCTTCGGCCGTGTTGTCTCCTCCCGGACCACTGAAAGCGCTAATACCAGTGACGGTGAAAAGTTTGGATTGGAGACCGCTGACGAATGGGATAGCGAAGGATGTCTTTTTGGGGGGAAACCCAAAGAACCCGGGTGCGGGTTTTGTGTGTAGATTTGTAGTGAAGGTAAGATCAGTGGGCTCGAGATCCTCAGCTAAACCTCCACGATCCGCAGACTCGGTCGTCGCGCGGGGTGGAGATATAGCAAGTGACCGTGGGAGATGTTTGTGCCTGGTCTGCCAACAGATTCCGAGATCCTTGTCCTCGATGTCACTGTCGGAGTCGGAGCCGGAAGTAGACTCTTCGCTTCCGGAAAGATGATCCTCGGTGGGATTAGCCGAATGCGAGGCTTCCGCGGTGCAAATACCCCGGGCGTACTTTATGGGAGCGGTGATGTGGGAGTGAAAGTCGGACAAAGGTCTGAAGATGAAGTTAAAGGCTGCCACAAACGACATGGTTAGACGATGTTGATGGGCAAGCGGGAAGTGGGAAAGGTGGCGATGGAGAGAGGAGGGCAACGAGGGGAGGAAAAGGAGGATGACGAGGAGGGTAAAGGAAGCAAACATGGAAGAATAAACAGTGAACTGCCCGAAAAAGTAACCACCCATCGTGGGCTGACAGGGGGAAGGGCAAAGCGTGAGCAATGACAACCATAAACCCTTGAGCCTTGCCCGGAGAGCTTCAACAGGCGCGCCAAGTTGCGACGCGATAGAACCCACCTATGAAGAGGAATTAACCGCGACCGCCTGAGGCAACCGGCGACGAATAGATGGACAGGGCGTCGCCGTGCTGTCGAAGCAATGGGGATGGACAATGGCGGGAAGGCGTCCGGATGGCGGTGGAGGGTTCGAAGATGTTTATGTGTTTTGGCGAGATGAAAATGACGTTCCGGAAAAGCTGGTTCTTGGCACTTAACCCTAAACCTGCCTGCACATGATTTGGCGATGGCGTTCGAAGGCGCGCATAAAGCGCACCATGGTATCACACCGCACGGGCACGAGTGCTGTAACTTAGGAGGGGGGGGTCCTGAACGTGAAGCTCGAGCTGTGATGAGGGTTAGAGCTACCTGCCAGTCAATTGGTATGGTGCCATAAAGAAAATGAGAGGTTTCCCGACGTGATTCCCAGATACGACTCCACGAGACCCGACAGGACTGGGTTTTTGCTGGTCGGTCTTAGTCATCACATCGCCATTTCAATCGAAGCTCAGGCCTCACCAACCGCGATATCGTACTCGGGCACCATGCTCCGACACCGAGCTCCCCGGTCCCCCATCACGCCCGAACTTAACGAAATGGCTCTGGCCTGAACAGGCTAAACCCTACCCTTGATAACAAGGTACAGTATTATAAACGCGAAACGGAGGAGCGATGCCACCCGTATGTGGAGGTTGACTGAGCCTATAACCGGAGCACGGTAGGCAATCTCGGATGGTAAGTATCGCGGTAGGAATCCACGATCAAGCGTCCCATAAACTGATCCTTTGTGTGAATAGGAGCGATTAAGCTACGGCACAGCATCGGTCGGCTTCGCGCTCGGCATAGCGTTTCGGATGATGATTGCGGACGGTACTCGTAAACACTCCTGACAAGCAAAGAAAGCCTCAGCTATTCGCCGAGTTACTGATATTCCGCTACCGTACCAGGTCCGACCCCCGTTCCAGCGATCCGACCAGGCTCTTTTCGCCAACCATCAAGTTCGATTCACGTGAGTTTTAGCTTACAAACTACTTAACCGCCCAACATCGAATCCTTAATCCGTCAATCATCACCCTGACTCCTCCACATCACCCCCCTCGTCGGATTCGACCCCCTCTTGGGAGGCACCGGCCAAGTAGAATTCGCTTTCTCCTCCACCACAAGATTCTTCCCGAACATGCTCTCAGGAATTTCCAACCCGAATGGCGGACTATACTCGAACCTCTCATCCTCATCATTGATAATCTTGAGTCCATACATACGCCCCTCGGGCATACTCCTACTATCCTCAAGGTACTTGCTAACCTTCCACTCGTACCACCCCTCATTATCCAACAGCCCGATGATCGCGCCCAGGTCGCCGAGATTCTTCGGATCGCCCTTGAGAAGGTTTATGGTTATGGTGGACTTTGTCGTCGCTTTCCAGGTGAGGTTTACGGCCCGGCCGCCATCGATCAGGTCGTCTTTGAGCGGGTATGTGAAGGGGTTCTCGCCTGTTTGCTCGGATGTGCTTGCCGCTAGCGATTGCAGGACAAAAAGAGATATCTTGAGCGCGGCGACTGAGAAGACCACTGTAGTGGGAGCGACTCCCGGGAGTTAAGGGAGTTAAGGTATAGATTCTTAAGATTCGGATTTACTCACGCGGGTTGTTTAATAGGTTCCCCCCTCCCACCCTCGGAGTTATAGTGGCCTCATGTGGGGTGGGCTTTTGTGGGTGTCATTCTTTCTTTCGCCCTTGACCGCCGGTATTGTACTGCATACCGGGTTTGAGCCAGGCTTCTTTGACAGATTCACCCGGCGCAAAAGGGGTCAGTCTGGTGTTCCCCTTCTCATGGCTACCGGTAGAAGTACTAACAAGACACCATGCGTTTCCGGTAGTCAAAGAGGTATCGAAGTAGTTCCCTCATTCAACAACATTCCGACGGACTGACACCCTGGGTCTGCGAGACACTATCATCCGCGCGTCTGGAGTTGAAAAACAAGATTTGAAAGATCTTCGCAACTCCTTTCACCATGAACGCAAAATGTCCCCTTGTGGTTTAAACAGCACCTGCAAACTAAGCCCCTAGCATCTACGCGGCGGGGCTTAAAAATGCTGCTAAGGGACTCCTCAAAGGGTATCGCTCGGCCAAATGATCAAATCTGCGCAATAGCAATAACGGTGTTAGCGTATGATAACTACGTACTGAATGGCGAACCACTCAACCTAGCACGACGGGTCCTCGCAATTACCGTATGTCTGCCACTGAAGTCGGGCTAAGTTGTGATACCGAGAGGCTTCGTCTGCCCCCTAGCATATGATACTAACCCACGGGACGAAGGATGATAGATCACTAGCAATCCGGCCCAGTTTCTCAACTGCTCCGGACAGGTAGTGGTGGGGTGGGGGGGCACCACCATACCATGAAAATATTTTTCCAAAACTCCGGGAAGAGTCTTGCCCGTTGATTTTGTAAATGGCAAACCGGCAACCGCAGGCAATACTGTCTGCTGCATGTAGATATCTAGCTTAGCATATGTTGCCAAAATCCGTCAATAATTCAGTCAACCGGCTATCACTGTGCAGAAACAATTCATGTATGATACCATCTGGCTTCAGGGGCGTGGAATTAGCGGCAAGCGGTAGAAGTGGGTCCCAGATACATTTGGCGTTTCTAACATTTCCAATGCACAATACACAATTCTACTTATGATATCACGCACTTCTTAAAATCTTTCCCTGGCGAGGGAAGCAGGCTTCCCGCAATTCCTACAGACCTCAGCATCACTATCACGTATCATCTCCTAATTGTTCCGGGGGTTATCAGAGCATCACTTCTTACCAAAACCGGTGCGGCAAAACATTTATACTCCCCCCAGATGCCCAGCCAGCCAACCAGCCAGCATAATAAGTGGTCTCATCTGGCGTTGTTTTTTTGTGAAACACTGCTTGTGCTTTCCATCTCCACCCTACATGATATCATACCACCCTGTCATCTTCCCAGATATTATATAATTCAGTATCGTTCCAGTTTAGTTTTCTGGAACGATACCACCGTACTGTACTCGTACACTCACTAAGTACTGGTCATGTGATCGCAGCGTTGTTACTCGTACGCTTTGAGGGGCACCCACTATTACCGGTAGACTACCGTATTATTATAGGTTAGTAGACTAAAAGTACCAAGAATGGACTCTCTTTACCGAGCCAGGGGTTTACTATATCTAAATAAGTTATCATCTGCCGGTAATGGTCGAGGATAGTATATGAATATCGATGGAACGTATGGAAAGGAAGCAAGGAAGGAAGAAAGTCTGGAGAACAAAGACAAAATACGTGGCGAGCAAAACCTTTTGTGCGCAGGAGACCATGGCAGAGTTAGATATTGGAAAAAAAAAATATTGGGTCGCAATTCGCGCCGCAGCAGGAATCTAAGTGTGTAGTACCCTACTTCTCCATATACTGTGCCGAAATTTAACATAGAAGGAGAGATTTATAGGCTACATTTAACAGATTCCGAAGAACCGTCAGTGAGAGAGGGGGGGAAACAGAAATAGAGGAGACTGTTGCGGGAAATCACTGATAGAACATGATACATTCTGGATCCTGAAGGAGAAAGTGGGTGGCAAGAAAGAGTAGAAAATATGAGAAGGGGATGGAATCGGACGTGAGGGGTGTTTGACAAGAGCTAAAAGAGGCGATGCGGGTTCCGGAATATATCCACTGTACCGGTGTAAAGGCTAAAGTGGAGAGCTCGTAGATTGGAAGGAAGTGGAATATCTTGGCGGGAGTAGTTGGCGTTACCGGTATTGCTTTCGGGTCCTTTATTGACTCTAGGACCGCTTATCTTGCCTCATGGTAGCTGGCAAGGGTGCGGCAAGGTCTTTTATGTCTGGCTTATGGTCGTTGGCCTCTTTCCATGATCGTAACAGCTTCACCACAGCTTCGTGTCCATTCTCAGCAGCCAGTGAGATCGGTGTCCGGCCCCGGTGGTCCGGCGCATCGGGGTTGACGTCTTCGCGCCCAAGCAACACCTCCACAACTGCCTCGAGCCCATTCTTGGCAGCCCAAGAGATTGTTGTCCGGCCCATACTATCCGGCCTATCAGGGTTGATGTCTCCGCATCCCAGTAACAGCTTCACAACTGCCTCATGTCGATTACCGGCAGCCCACGAAATTGGTGTCACATCATTGAGGTCCGGCCTATCGGGGTTGACATCTTCCCGTCCCAGCAACAGCTCCACCACGGCCTCATGCCCGTGCCGGGCGGCCCTCGAGATTGGTGTTTGACCACAGTAGCTATCCGGCCTATCAGGGTTGACACCTTCCCGCCCCAGTAACAGCTTTACGACTGCCTCATGTCCGTTCCCAGCAGCCCACGAGATTGGCGTCCGGCCACTATGATCCGGCCTATCGGGATTGACGTCTTCCCGTTCCAGCAACAGCCTCACCACTGCCTCATATCCATGCCTGGCAGCACACAGGAGTGGAACTTGGCCGTAGCTGTCTGGCGTATTGGGGTTGACAACTTCCCGTCCTAATAACAGCTGCACCACCGCTTGGTGTCCATACATGGAAGCCCAAAGGATTGGTGTTGTCCAGTGATGGTCGACCCTGTCGGGGTCGACGTCTTCTCGTCCTAGTAGCAGCTTCACCACCTCCTCGTGTCCGCACTTGGAAGCCCATGAGATCGGCGTCCTGCCTTTGCAGTCTGGCCTGTCAGGGTTGACGTCTCCCCGTCCTAATAACAGTCTCACCACCGCCTGATGTCCATTTTCGGCAGCCCACAAGATCGGTGTCCGGTTATAGTTGTCCAGCAGATCGTGATTGGCGTCTTCCCGTCCCAGTAGCAACGCCACCACTGCCTCATGTCCATTCTCGGCAGCCCACGATATTGGTGTCCGGTTAAGGTGGTCCGGCTTGCCGGGGTTGATCGCTTGCTGCCCCAGTAACCGCTTCACTACTGTCTCGGGCACGTTCTCGGCAGCCCACGCCATTGGTGCCCCGCCGTCAGTGACTACAATGCCGTTAGAAACGTAACCACAACTACCGTTCGTGTTGAAATAGTTGCCGTTGCCGTTAGGAAAGTTAGCAATACCAAGGTGGCTAGCCGTGTTAAGGGAGCAGTTATTATACCTAGGAATTGGGATTCTGGGGGAACTCAGCAACAAAACTCGGATGCGGAGAAACCTTTCCGCACTTTGCTCATGAGAATCCGGTAGAGGATGGATCGGTGGGGGAGTTGTGTGGTGTTAGATTGCGGTCTCCTTGGGGGCTACTTGTAGGAAAAATGGGGCTCATCACCATAGCCCAATGTGGTAGGTGAGACAGTCACCCCGATCGTCCTTAAAACAATTCCCTGCTTATGGCAACTGCAAGAAACCGGGTCACACAGGGAAAGCGACAGAGGTATCATAGCCACCCGCCACTGATCCCCGACCCTCAGTTCACCCACCAATATCCCTTCAGCCTTGATCTCGTATAAGTTAGTTCAGAATAGGCATCGTATTAGATTTTTGTTTGCATAGCGGCGAACCGTGGAGCAGCTGCTATTTGGACATGGCTTCTTTTACACTCCCTGGGCAATGGAATTCGAGTGCTACCGGTAAGCGGAAATTGAATTTTCGAGCAAAAAGAGTCCAAGAATAGGAGACATGAGATAAAATTATTTTAGAGTTATTATTTTTTGCTCCGGAAGATATTGCGGGCTTCGGCAGGGGGTCACTATGTTCTGGGTGCGGTGATGCAGTGTGGCCATAACATTGACATGTACCATTGCTTGCTTTGGGCGCAAGCAGTGTGCAGAAGGAATATTGGCAGAACAGATGGGAAAATGAAAGAAATAGACAAATATACAGAGAACAACGGAAAGATACAAACGAGACTCATTGTGAGTAGGAGACCGCAACAGGGTTGGGCATTGTAAAAAAAGATTAGACCACAGTATAAATATAAGAGCACAATACCCCACCTCCACTCACATCGTGCCGATTTTGAAGATAGGAAGGGAGAGTTATGAATCATGATTCGACAACCCCAGCCGATACCAAGGAACCATCCGAGAAAGTGAGATGCTAACGGGTTTGGAGGAAGTTGTTGAGGGAAATCACGGCCAGAATTTGGTACATTCTAGACTCTCAAGAAAAAAGTGGGTGGGAAGAAAGAGGTGCGAAAGCTGCGAAAGAGACGGTATCTAACACCAGTAGGGCTACACAGGAGCTAAAGGAGGCGGTGCGGGTTTCAGAATATATCCGCCGTGCTAGCGAAAAGGCTGGAAAGAAGAGCTCGCAGATTGGAAGAAGCAAAGGATCTCTGCAGGATCAATCGGCGTTGCTGGTAGCGCTTTCGGATCTTTATTAACTTTATGATAGCTCGCCCTGCCCCAGAGCAGCCGGCGAGAGTGCGGTAAGGCCTCATATGCCTGGCTTGTCGTGGTTGGCCTCCTTCCATGACCGTAGCAGCTTCACCGCTGCCCCATGTCCATTCGCAGCAGCCAACGAGATTGGTGTCCGGCGGTAGTGGTCCGGCCCATCGGGGTTGACGTCTTCCCGCGCCAGTAACAGCTTCACCACCGCCTCGTGCCCATATTCGGCGGCTAGCGATATTGGAGATTGGCCATGGTGGTTGTCCGGGAAATCGGGGTTGACGTCTTCCCGTCCCAGTAACATCTCAACGACCGCCTCGAGCCCATGTGCGGCGGCCCAAGAGGTTATTGTTCGGCCCATGTTGTCCGGCCTATCGGGGTCGACGCCTTTCTGTCCCAGTAATAGCTTCACAAC